TACCAAAAAGAGCTTGAGAAAAGTGGACCCTGGTCTCCTTCCCTACTATTGAAATTGGCTGGGCTATAGACCCAAAGCATTCGAAGTCACAGCACACACTTACTTTTTCATCATCTGGATTTCATGGCACCATCGTTCTCTGTTTTTGGTACTTAACTCCAGGCGACAAGACTTAATTGCTATTTTGATATCAAGTTCCTGTCAAAATAAAAAATTAATAGAAAATATGAATAAATTATGTTCCTATACAGATTTACTTACAATCAAAGAAATGTCAACACAGGAAAATAAACACTCTATTTAGCCTTACTAATTACACATATTATCCGCAGCCCACTTTAGTCAACATTAGTTACATGAACCATAATACTATTAAACCAATGATTTGAAGCTGTCAAATACACCATGGTATATAAGAAAAACTGAGAAGGACGCTACAACAGGTCTCTTCAGAAGATTACGTATGTTAATGATTTAGAACTATATACTACTAGAAAAAGATCCCATTTCTCCAACAAGTTTCTTCTCCATGCTTAATCAAGACAAGAAATAAGGGCCCCAAATTCTAGTATATCCAGAAAGAAGAAAATAATCCAGGGCTCCCTAACCTCAAAACATCAAGAAATAGTTTTCATATGACCAAGCCTAATGCAAAACAAAATAAACAAAACTCTCCAAAACTAGACCCTAATCTTTGCATTTCAAATGACCTGGAAAAGCATCCAAACAAGTGTGCTGCGGTTTAAGTACCTAATACAAACTAAGACCTCTTGCCTGTGATTAGTAATTTCACCAATTCTGGCTGAAAATAAAACTATCCTATGCACATTTCAGGAAATAGTCATGATATTCTGACACTAATAACACAGTCAGAACCAAACAGGCTATAATGCATTAAGAGCACAAAAGAGGGGCTGGAACGATGGCTCAGTGGTTAAGAGCACTGGCTGCTCTTCCAGAGGTCCTGAGTTCATTTCCCAGTTACATGATTACATGGTAGCTCACAGCCATCCATATTGAGATCTGATGCCCTCTTCTGGCCTGCGGTCAGACACATAGGCAGAACATTGTATACATAATAAATAAATAAATAAATCTTGAAGAAAACAAAAAGAGTTCAAAAGAGCGTAACACATGTGACATTTCTGCTACAAGCCAAAGGTGTGGTAAAAACTGTATGAGTGGTGAGAACAGGACCCCGGGGCTGAAAGGGGAAGCGGGGAGCAAGACAGATTAGATAAGATAGTCTGAATTAGGAACCAGGAGGAGGAAGAAGGCTAAAGGCCAGACAGTCCCTAGCGCAGGGGTTGGGGACTAAGAGAGACTAAGAGCTGGCTTTGCCACAGTGCGCACTCCTTTCAGCTCTCATTATAAGCAAATAGGTATCTGATAGTATTCATATCCTATATAAGATTCTACTACCACCATGGAGACTCTAGCACAGCTAAGATAATAAGCCCTAAATTCTGAGACAGGAAGTTATCTACTTTAAATAGGTCCCAACCACAAGAGATCCTTCAACACCTTGGTTTATATTTTACCTACTCTGTGAAAGTCAATCTTCTCATAGAAAATATTCTCTGGGAAGTTGACAGTTGCATAACAACAAAAAGGCCTGTTTTTAAAAAAATGAGACTAAATTGTGTGTGGTAATATGAGCCTATAGTTTCTGTTATTTGGAAGACAGAGGCAGGAAGAAAGTCTGAAAACACTAAGATAATTTCTTTACTTTTTAGAGCTTTTAAATTGGATTCCTAATTTGAATTACAATTCTCAAGCATTTACCCAATGTATTTGAGCGTACTGAAGTTGCCCCTCAGAATGCAGATGATGGCTTCTAGGACCTCGAGAGGATGCTGAAATCTGTAGATGCTCAAGTCCATGACATCAAATCACACAGTATCTGCCCATAACCTACATGTACCCTCTCTGGATATGTTTAGTAGATGCAATCCCTGCAGTCCTAAGTCTTACTCGACCCTATTATTCCCTGCTCAGTGTGTGGCAGGCTGAACCCATAGTGCTGAGGACAGAACCCAGGACCTTGGGCATGTACTTTGCCATTGAGTTACATCACCATCCCATATACACATTAAACAAAATGTCTCTCTGTGGCCCATGGTGGCTTTAAACTGAAGGCAATCCTCCTAACTCAGTTTCCCAAGTGTTCCCATCATGCCTGGCTTCTACATTCTTTCTCTAAAGTATTCCGTGGAACTAGGTTTTTCAAACATCCTTTGAGAAGTTCTACCCTATCCACTAGGGAAAGTTCTCTGGTTGCTCACACCGCTAGGACTTTCAGTGTGCAGGGTATTACACTGAGCTTATGTTTACTTCCGAGACAGTCTCTGCCTACATAACTCAGGCTGCCCTTGACCACAATATTAAGCCCACTCAGGCTGGCCTCAAATTCACTAGTGATAGTGTGTGTTAACTCTCACACAGGACTAGGTTGGAGATACAGCCTTCCGCAGAGTTTCCAGACCAATGATAATTTGCTCAAAATCTACACCTCACCACATTCTTCAGGAAAGCCAAACCCTCAAGGGTAATGCACTGGTTTGGGTATTAATTTTCTGGAGATAAGATCCACAGTTTTTACTGAATTATCAAAAGACCCACGACTCAAACATGATTACTTGGGGCTGGGGGTGTAACCCAGTGGCAGAACATTTGCCTAGCATGTGCAAGGCCCTGTGTTCTACTCCTCCCACCAACATTAAAATAAGCAAGGCGACCGTTAGTTCACAAATCTTTAAAGAGTGTGAGTAACTGCTGTTGCAACAGTTAAACATTTTCCCGGGCCCGATCTTAACTGTCTTCCCCAGAACAAACCCCTCAGTCTACTTCTTTCCCTTTGAAGCAAAGGTCATTTTCACCACCTTCCCCTCACACTGTTCCTTGCCTGGAACTCTCCAATGTTTCCAAAGGTTCAACTCCGGACACCAGGAAGGACCTTCCTTGTTTACACACACACTGACACTCGACATTCATACATACCCCTCATCAACACACTCACTCAACGTTCATACATACTCCTCGTCACTACACACACACACACACTCGACGTTCATACATGCCCCTCGTCACCAAGGACACACACACACACTGGACGTTCATACATACCCCTCGTCATCACAGACACACACACACACACACTCGACATTCATACATACCCCTCGTCACTAAGGACACACACACACACTGGACGTTCATACATACCCCTCGTCATCACAGACAGACAGACAGACAGACAGACAGACACACACACACACACACACACACACACACTCGACAGTTGCAACAGCTTCATTTGACTCACTGTCCGGGGACCTGAGACTCGCCTGGCACAGGCTCACAAGCGGTCTCACCCGCACTCGTTCACCGGCCCTCGGCACTGCCCAGCACAACCACACCTCTGCCACCCTGACTGACAGCTGGTGTCCCAGGGACGCCCAACCAGACCCAGCGCCACTGCTCCCGCCCCCGCCTCACCCGGTGCTGGTACAGACAGACGTTCCCGAAGCCGCCGGTGCCAAGCCGCTCCCGCATCTCCCAGGGGCCGCCCGCGCCCGGCCGCAGCCCCGGGGGCCGCTCCATGGGGCGGGAGCGCCAGCCACCTCAGGCTTCGCCGCCGGTCCAAGGCCGGTTCCGGGCTGCCGAGGCTCGCGCGTCCGGTTTCTCGCGAGATCTACGCGTCACTTCCCATATTTCCGCAGGAAAAGTCCCGCCCCGGCCTTTTCCATCTAATTAAGGCTTGCAGCACTCCAGAAGACAGGGAAGCTAGTAACTCAAAAGTGTAAGACTCAGCCTAGAGTCAAATTTTCAATGTCTGTACGCAAGTCGATGTTGCGGATCACTGATAAGGAGTGGTATTCCGTTAGTTGGTTCTATTATTTTCATGTATCCCATGGAATTAGAATATCAGAATTGAAGGTAATACAGCAAAAGAGCCTCGGAGAACACTTCCCCTCTCCTGGGATTGGTGCTGGCAAATGGGCCGGGCACGGGCGGGTTGCACTGTGCTCTTTTAAGTACCCTGGGCGTCTTCCAGACTGAGAGAGCCTTCGTTTGTGGGATTTTTGTTTTGTGTGACTGTGTGTGTTTGTAATTAAATGAGTTCTTTGAAGGTTTCTCACCCCAAACTTTGTGTTTGTCCTCACCCCATCAACATTTCGTCTTTTGCAGAGCCCTGCCCTCTGCCCCTGGAACCCTACCACCATAACGGCCACCATAAGCCTGAAAGAAAACATTTTCTTTCAGCCCATTGATTCATTAGTCTTCAAATGCACTGTGGTCTCCTGCACGTCCGCTCAGAATCTCTCCTATAATCCCAAAGCACCCAAGGATATGATGTTATTCCAGTTAAGGCTCTTTTTTTCCCAGGCTTGTGAGTTTCCCTTCGGACCTGGCGAATCTTGCTACTTCTCAACTTTTGTTTCAGACTTGCCAACGCAATGGTTCTAGTTTGGAATTGTTTCTGAGGTGCCCTACAGGGTTGCAAAGACAAGTTTGGGGGAGCCCTTGTTCCAATAAGGCATACTTCTGAGTGGTGGATTGCACAGGAAGAAGTTCCCCGTCTTTCCATTTGAGTGGGTTATCTGCCTCTTGGAACCGAGGTTTGTTTTGAGATAGGTCTCATATAGTCCAGGCTGGTCTAGAACTCCACCTAATTCAGGCTTGTGGCACTCCTCCAGGCTGGAATGCTAATAACTCAGCACAGAATCAAATTCCCAGTGTCTGTATACAAGTCAGTGTTGTGGACACTGGTGGTGAGTGGTGTTCCCCCCGTTAGGTGGTTCTATTATTTTCATGGAACCCATGGAATTGGAGTATCAGGCTTAAAGGCGATAGCAATGAGCCTCCAAGAAAGCCTCCCTTAGAGCAGACTGTCACGTATCAGCGTGAACCCTCGTTTGCTGTGCTGTGTATGACCGCTAGGAGTGTGTCCAGTCTCCACAGGAGGGACCTAATTTTATTATGACATACTAAAAACTACAGCCAGGATAGTGTTAAGCAGGCGACCCAAGTTGGTTTCTACAGTTACTTCACTTTTTAAATATTCTATTCTTAAAACACAACTCAAAATTTATTGAATTCTTTTTTTTTTTTCTTTTTTGAGACAGGGTCTATATAGCCATGTCTGACCTGGAACTCACTATGTAGCTCAGACCTCAAACTCACAGAGATCTGCCTGCTGAGTGCTAAGAGTAAAGACCAGGCCTTTTATTATTTGTATTTGTAGAATGGTTTATCTCAGGCTTCACAATCTTCAGGTTTCCAAGACTGGTTTGTTTTTCAATGTTGTTTTGTTTTTTAATATGCGAAATGGAGGTCAAGAAATTTTTGTGAGAACTCAGTGAAAGTGTATCTGGGCCTTAAGTGGCCACTAAAGAAGAACAATTATTTTCTTCTGGCTTCAGATCTGCAGCATTCTCCCATGGCCACACTGCTCCTGCTCCACGGACCTACTCTTCACAGCACCACTGGTCCTTAAACATCTGTAGAATGGGACTGTACCGGCCCTATTTTATTTGTAATTTCATCATGGTCTATGCCCTGATGATCCCTAAAGCCCTATCACCAATGAGTCTGAGATGTATCTAACAGCACTCTGGACACATCTGTTAGATAACTCAGCTATCTTAACCATCTAAGATGCATTTTAAGTCCTGTCACCAATCCCGATCTGCTTGAGTTTTAGAAGTACCTAATGGCAATCTGGGCACATCTATTGGGTAACTCAGGTATGTTAAACACCCAAAACACATTCAAAGAAAAACTCATTTTCTTAAATCTGCCACTTCCTTTCCCAATTAGACCATAAACAAATCAGTACCATGCTGGGGCATTCACTGACTCTTGGAACTTAGAAAAATTCCCAGCATATCCGAGTTAAATATCTGAGAGATGGATTCTCTTATGTAAAGGCGACACCGTGAAAAAGCAACAGCAAAGGAAGGCCACAGTTTTCTCGGCCCCACACAGACTGAGCTGCCTGTGCTACTCCGGGATAACTGCTAGGCATAAAGCTCTGGTCTCCATTACACACACACAGAATTTCACTTCAGGGTGATAAGCAACATAAGACATTTGTTAAAAAAGCATTCCCTTTTTATCACTTACAAGATTTAGGGAAGGTTATTTTTGCTTTTTTGGGAGGGGGCGGGGACAAAGATGTGTCTCACACCATAGCCCAGACTGGCTTGGAACTATGTAGGCCAAACTAGCCGTAGTTCACATCAATTCTTCTGCCACAACTTACTTTCTGAGATTACAGACATGAGCAACCACACCCAACCTCAAAAGGTTAAAAGTCTGTGAAGATGTGGACAAACACAGCTGTTCTGAGAAATATGGAGCAGACATTCTTTTCACATACAATTGCATCTCAGAATGACTTCTTTAAAAAAGAAAAAGAAAAGAAAAAAGTCCACCCTAAGCCTCTTGCTGCAGGCAGGTTCCATGGGCAAATATGGAAGAGGCAGGGAGGCAGTCCCCATGGGAGACTCTGTAGCTTCATTCTAAAAAGAGGATGTAAGAATTTCCTGTGAAGTTCATAAAGTGTCCTTCTCTTTGCCTAGTCATCCAGAGTGAAGTCAAAAGGTTCAAAGTCTTTCCGGAAGCGGCGAGCCAGGGTCTCCTCCTCTTCCTTACTGATCTGACACTGCCTCCAGTCAGCCTTGTCAGGAACATTGAGAATGGCTTCACTGGCCAGTACCTCCCTGCAAAGAGAACACGAAGGAAAATGTGAATAGCAACTGAAACCCACCCAGTCCCTTGTTCCTCTCCAGCCGGCTCTCCTCGGTAGCCTCTAAGGAGTACGTAGACTTCTTACTCCTTACACTGCTCTCCGGACCTGACTGACATTTCTGCCTTCTTCTCTATTAAAATCACTGCCATATTAAGTGACCTCTCCTACCCCATTTATTTCTCCTTCCCTGGAACAACTCAAAACTACAGTTTTAGTACTCAGGGTAGGAACACCACATACAAAGTAGACAAAAGGCATCAGAAAAATCAGACCGAATTTCATTCCAAGCTCTGCTACTTGGTTAACCCTTGATCTAAGGCTCACTACAGGAGGGCTCCAAATAGGACTTGCTACAGGACAGAAGCCACACACCAAAGCATGTTCCCAGCAGCTGTTCTGTCTCATCTTACTATAGTTCTGGCAGTCTGACGAGACAGTTTGCTGAGGGCATGGTTCAGAGTCACGTCATGCCCATTCTGACTTAAAATCCCTCTGCCTATACTTCTAGGTGACTCACATTGTATGAGTACACCAAGAGAAGTTCGATGTGAAGAAAACCATTTACACAGATACATATACACACAGCTTCTAATTTCTAACGGTTTATATTTTTACTTTTAACTTATTTTACTATAGTAGAAAAATCTATTTGGCTCATTTCAACTTTGAAGATACAATAAAGAGGTGAAAATGAATCACAGCGGTCCTCTGAAAGACAAAGGTTCTAAGCTCAAACCTTGAGCATGTTTCTTCATAGTGTGAAATGAAGATAGAATCACTTTCCCTATTAAGTATAAAACGTATCAATTATATTAGTATTATAAAAAACTTTCAGGGTTGAAAACATAAACAACTCCCATGATCACAAACCACTGTGCCAACTGTACACGGTTGCGTGTACTCGCATATGCTTTATGTACGTCCCCACTGTGCCTACCTACATCTGTTGCAAAGGCAACAAGAAGATTAAACCACATATTTAGAGCATTTAACATATTCTCATTTATCAATTATCTGTTTGAAAAAAAAACCCTCTATTTTCTAGACTTATCCAATGGGGCAATCTCTTGGAGGCTTTCCAAACTAGTCTAAGAATGGCTGAACGCTTATTGGAAGCCCAGCTGAAACCATTGGGAATGGCTGGAGATCACCACTGTGTGCATTTTCTACTTCCCTCTACACAGGCTTTTAGAACAATGCAGAACAGCAAGGTTAAAGACCTCTCTCATCTTGGTCTTTCACCAAACCTTCACCAGAATGAGGTTTGAACCTTCAACTGTGTGACCACGGGCATACTACACCCAATAGAGTAACCACTAGCCAGATGTGGCCATTTAAATTTAAGCTCTATTTAATTAAATAAAATTAAGAATTCAGTTCTTCAGTTCCATTTTCAATTTTTTTACTATGTATATTTATTTGTGTGGATTCATGCGTGCCATGGCACCTGTGTGGTCAGAGAACACATGGGTAGAAGTCAGTTATCTCCTACATTAGGTTCCAAAGATCAAACTAAGTCATGTGGCTTAGCATCTCACTGGGTCCTCAGTCCCATTTTCAAGTATCCAAGAGCAACATGTAACTTGTGATTATGGTGCTAGTGCAACTTTATAGAGCATGTCCATATCTGTATGAAGTTCTGCTGAGCGCTGCTCCAGACCATCACTCAGGCGAGCAACTGGGCTGACGGTATATAACCAGCAGAACTAGGTTAGATGAGATAATGCACGTGAAGTTCCCACAGTGTCTGACCCAGCGAATGCTCAATAGTAGCACTTTATTCTGACAAGGTGCTCTCATCCCGTCTTTTCCCTCTATGGTCCATCTCTTAAACCATCACTTACAGGCCTTTCATGGTCCATCCTTCTCTGAGTTTCTAAAGTACAATGTTCCTCAAAATTTAATCATGGTACTGTTCAAATTCTCCATCACAGGACTGTATTACTGATCTGCTCTAAAACCATAAGCTTCTTGGGGACCATTCCCTAGTTGACTTTTCATTGATTACCCATGCAGTCCATCACCGTGTTTATTATAGCTCTAATGAAATATACCAAATAGAGTAAAAACATACAAACCTTCCAAACTGCAAAGGAAAATTCTTTTTAATTCTGTGGAAAAGCTTTTCTCCGGTGTCAAGTTCAACATAAAAGTATGCGGCTCCTGGCTGTGCAATCTGAAGTAAAAAGAGTTGTATAAAGACAAAGAAGATCAAATTTAAAAAGCTCCCTCTTCTGCAAACTTTGATTTAGCAAAGAATTTAATCTAGAAATTAAAAAAAAAAGTGGGACAGTATAGGAGCTAGAGTTTAAAAAGCCAATATATTCCCAGTGGGACCCATCCTTCAAAATTCCCATTTTAGCAGGTGTCTAATTTCTTTGCTTATTTAATTCATGTGTATTTATAAATGTGTGCCTATTCTCATGTCTGTGATTACACATGTAGGTGTATCCACTGCCTGTGGAGGCCAAATGACACTGGGTGACTTTTTCAGTGCTCTCCACCTTATGTTTTTTGACCCTGGACCCTTTCAGTTTGTCTCTACCTCCTCGGAGCTTGGATCACAGGCACCTGTCCCAGCACTTGACCTTAACAAGGCTGCTGGAGATCAAACTTAAGTCCGCACCGAGCCATCTTCCCAACCCCATGAAATGTCTAACTTCTTATTCTTCCCAGGAAAGCACTAAGACTTTGTTATAGTGATGTCTTCACCTCTAGACTTGTCAACATCCTGCATTCTAGTACCAAATGACCCTATTATTTAGTATTTTTGGAATAGCTTGACAGTACCTCTGATTCACCTTGTCAAAACCCAGATCTTAACTCCTCCCTGAACATCACCAACCCTTCCTGCTTCACCTGCTTGATGTCTGAGTGCTCTGGAATTTCCAACAGCTCTATCTGTTGCTCCTGTGCCTGGGTAATAAAGGCATCTTTAATGTCATCTGTAACACAGCAGCTGAGGGGCACAGGAATGACCTGGGTTGGTGTGGGAGAAAAAGAAGAAACTCTATGAACTGATTCCAAAGAAGATGTCTTTAAAGTCTTAGAGGAGGAGCAAATCCATCACTGGGGTGGAGAGCCACCCCTCAGTAGAGATTCTCCTCAGGCCAAACAGCCTCCATCGGCCTGGCTGTAGGACTTAAACTTATGAGAGCCAGTCACTTATGGGAGCCAATCTGTCAACAGAAAACTCTCAAGAGAGACTCTTTGTCCCTAAGACTCTGCCGGCTCCTGCATAATGTACGTGGCAGAGTCAGGCCCATCTGAATACTTAGCAGATGTGCCAGGAAGACGCTACCACCAAAGACACAAATCACTCAACTTCTAGCAGACTACACCCATGCTAGCTGGAAACTATTTTCCTACCTCTAAGCCTTCATGCATGCTGGACTTCCACACAAAATATCCATGTCTTAACATCACGACCCATTTCTCTATCTGCCATGGAACCTGTTTTAACTACCCACTCTTTCTAAACAGACACATGCTGCTAGTCACTGACCCCAGCATGACCTTCCCCATGAAATCTCTGGGATTATCAGCAGATACTCCTAGCCCTCTAACGCTATTTGAGTATTATCATGAAAGTAAGATTAAATGCTCTAAGTATTACATTAAAATTCAACACTGAGGTCAGAACTATTTTGATATTTATCAGTCTCAAGGTCCCCAAAGTGATATCCAAGTTCCTGGGCAGAAAACACCTACCTGAAGCTGGAGGTGATGGCTCCTATAATTTCTTTCAAAAAGAACACAGCGCTTCCCCCGACTCTTAAAGAAGCGTTTCAGAGTAGCCTTATACTTCTCCACTTCTTCCACCACCTCTGCCGAAAGCTCGACAACTGACTGGTAGTGCCCAATAGGCAGGATGAGGACGTGGTCATCACATAACCCTCCTTTAGCCAGGGCGAGGTAGCACTACAGAAGAATCACATAGGCAGTTTGAAGGCTGCCTCACTACATGCCGTGTGAGAGAGAGAACGGCATAAAGTAATGCCATGAGGCGGGGAAGCCCAAAGCTGATCTAAAGGGCACACCTAGAAGCTCTTCAAGCTTGTTCGCAGCCTTCATCCACAGGCTCCAGGGCCAACTGTGCTGTGCGTGTCACAGACCTTGACTCCAGACACCTCCCTAGGCAGTGCCAACCATTAAGATGCAAAACATAAATAAGAAAAGTGCCGCCTCAGTCTGAGAACTGAAAACTCAAAGTGAGGCTCCAGCTGTTCTACAGGAGGCCACAAAGAAAGAAGCTTTCAGATTGTCACCGTTAGAAACCAAAACAGGAAGAAACCAGTGAAAAACAGATGAACACCACCTGTCTGCAGAAGCATTACACATTAAGCAAGCCTTAGGGAACATCCAGTTCTAGTCGTGGGGCCTGGAGTGCAATTAAAACTCTGGTGATTAAACGGGCTTCACTGTAAGTAAAAGGAAAAGGCAATTATCTTTACAGAGCCTGAATATTTAATCTCTAGTAAGGCCCCTGAGGAAGAGGATCTGAGAAATGTGAAACTGAATGACTTCCCTGAGACCTGTGATGTTCAACGGGGATTTGTCTAGCCTAGTCACCATACTCAGGATTATCAGCTCTACAGACTGATCCAAGGTGCTCCAATCATGTGACTAAAATCATTATCCTAGATACATCAGGCATGGTATACAGCTACAAAGCTACACACTTGTGATGGCTTGATTGTCAACTTTACTACATCTGGAATTAACTAAAACCCAAAAATGAGGGTCATACCAGTGCAGATTTATGCTTAATTTGAAGTGAGAAGATCTACTTCTAATCCGGATTTGAGCTAGGAAGACACACCTTTAATCTAGATCTTTAATCTAGATATTTGGAGCTGGAAAAACCCACCTCTAATCTGGTCCATACCGTCTGCGGGAAGCCTAAAGGACATGGAAGAAGGCAGCTTTTACTCTTTGCCTGCTTGCTCTCCCCTTGCTAGCAAGTCCATTCCTTCCTCCACTGGCATTAGAGCCTACTTCTTCAGTACTCCAGCATACACTGAGGATCAGCTGAGACATCCTGCCTCACGTACTGAACAACTAGTGGATTCCTGGACATTCCATTCATAGTCAGCCATTGTTGGATTAGCTGGACCACAGCCTGAAAGTCATTCTAATAAATACCATGTTTGTGTGTATAATATACTCATATATTTATATATATGCACACATACAGAGACAGAGAGATTCATCCTATAAGTTCTTACTCTAGAGAACCCTGAGTAATAAAATCCTTGACTACTAAATTGAATTTATCACTTTAGTCTTTCTTATGCTTAATGAACTTCATTTCCTAGTAGTTTTGTTGTATTTTTTAGATAAAGCCTCACTCTGAAATCCAGTCTAACCTAGAGCTCATTATGTAGTCCAGGTGACTTGAATTTGTAACAATCCTCCTGCCTCAGTCTCCTGAGTGCTAGTATTACAGGCATGAGCCACAACATTGGGTTAACAATATCAACATTTTAAATCTATTAAATATATATAAGCAACACATGATTCCCTTCTCTACTCAATATTTAAAGTAGGGAAAACAGTGAGAAGTATTTAAAACAACAGGGCGGGGGGGGGGGTAAGTGGAGGGGATGGGAGAAAGGGAAGGAGGGGGAACTTGGATTGTTATGTATAATGAAAAATGTTAGTTTGTTTTCTTTTTTAAAAAAAATAAAATAAAATAAAATAAAAATATTTAAAACAGTCAGAAATTAAGAAAATCAACTCAATACTCCAAGAAACATAGATGAATCTAAGAAATACACAGAAAACTCATCTCGTATGAATCTTGTGAAACTGCTTCCATAAAACTATACCATCTATAATCAAAAAGGCAGAAAATGTGTTAAAGATGTATCTCAATAGCAGAGTTCTTGCCGAACATGCACAAGACCCTGGGTTCAGTCTCCAACACTATCAAGAAAGAAGGGGAAAGACTTTGAACAATATTAATGAGAATATGGAAAAGCCAAAACTCTCATAATGTTGCTGGTGGGAGCATAAAATAATGTCATTTTGAAAATCAGCTTGACAATTTCTTAAAAAGTTAAAACAGACCTGGAGAGAAAGCTCAGCAGTTAAGAGCACATACTGCTCTTGCAGAGGACCAAAGTTCAGTTCCCAGCATCCATGATAGGGGCTCACAACTTCCTATAGTTCCAGCTGCAGGGGATTCAAGGCCTGAATCCTCAGGCACGTACACTTAGATGTACATATACCAACAAACACACACATACACATGATTAAGAACAAAATATCAGCTGAGTGGTAGTGGCACTTTAATCCCAGCACTCAGGAGGCAGAGGCAGGCAGATCTCTGTGAGTTAGAGGCCAGCCTGGTCTATACAGTGAGTTCCAGGAGAGCTAGAACTAAACAGAGAAACCCTGTCTTGAAAACAAAAAAAAAAAACTTTTAAATTTAAACACAAATTTGCCAAAATAATAACATATGGTTTTATGTTTTCCATGTATAAACACATGCAAATATTACATTGTTCCTGAGAGCTATAAAATGCTAACAAACTAAATGTCTATCAAGTGATAAGTAAATAGACAAAAACAATACATCTATATACGACACTAACTGGCAATAAAAAGGAATGAGACATTTATACATGAAATACAATATGAATGAAACTTAAGATTCTTTTATGCTAGTCAAAGAAGTCAGACACAAAAAGCATTATTATATGATTTCAGTTCAAAGAAATGTCTAAACCCCACAACCCTAAAAAGACACAAGAAGTGGCCAAGGCTGAAGATGGAAACTGAGATTACTATAAAGGTCTAAAAAATTTTACTGAACTGATGGAAATGTTCTAAACCTCTATTTGGTCTTATATTTTCTTTCTTTGAGACAAGGGTCTGTGTGGCCTGACTGTCCTGGAACTTGCTATGAAATAGAGCAGACTGGCCTTAAACGCAAGAGATCTACCTATCTCTGCCTCCAGAGTGCTGGAACTGCAAGACATTCTGCAGGACACAGAAGAAAGTGACTGACAAACTGCCAATATAGGCAGAACTGTCTTTGAAATTTCCTGCTTCATGGAAAAGTCTGCCATATGGGCCTGTAGGCTGAAGATGGATGCCCCAATGTTACAGAAGAACTCTGGGTGACTGTTCAGGCAGTGAGATGTCTCTGCCAATTCTAGAGTTTTGGAAGTTACTTACAATACACTTCCTGTTTACTTAGGTAATATTATATCCTTTTGGAGTCTTTAATGGAGTTGAAGAATATATAGTTATAGTTTTTCTTAGTTATGACAAAAGATAAAGTAGATATAAATATTGTAACTAATTCTTGCTTGACACCTGTTTTGTTATATGTAATTTTAATACGTTAAAGTTAAAACCCTCCTTTTTATTTAAACAGAAATGGGAAGGTGATGTGGGATTCCTCTCAGTATGCTGTGATTACCATTGATTAATAAAGAAACTGTCTTGGGCCTGTGCAGGGCAGAACAGAGGTAGGCAAGGAAAACTAAACTGAATGCTGGAAGAGAGAAGGGCAGAGTCAGCTGGGAACAGATGCACTGGAACTTTAGCCGGTAAGCCGCAGCCACGTGGCTATACACAGATTAATAAAAATGGGTTAAATTAAGATGTAAGAGTTAGCCAATAAGAATCTAAAGCTAAAGGGTCAAGCAGTGATTTAAATAATATAGTTTCTGTGTGATTATTCTGGGAATCTGGGGAGCAGGGAAACAAACAAGTAGCCTCCTACTACAAAGGTGTGTACATCACACCTGGCATCTAAACCTATACTATGTGATGGTTACATAATTTAAAAAGTTTACTAAAATATCAATGAATTATACACTTAAAATGAATAAATTTACTGGGTGTGATGGCTCACACCTTTAATCCCAGCACCTGGAGGAAGAGGCAGGAGGATCTCTGTGAGTTTGAGGCCAGCCTAATCTACACAGTGAGTTCCAGGACAGTCAGTGCTATGTAGAGAGACCCTAAAGAGGAGAGGGGAGAGGAGGGGAGGGAAAGGGGAAAAGAAAGGAAAGAGAGAAAGAGAGAGAGAGAGAGAGGGAGACAGGAAGGGAGGAAGGGAAAAGAAAAGAATAAATTTGATAAGTAAATTATACACCATGTGAAGTTAGTAAAAAAAACAAGTAATAGACATTTCTTCTCTGCTACCAATCTATGGAAGTAACTCACATGTGTGCCAATGTTGACCACCAAATGCTTTTCCACTTCAGGGCTGGCAAGGCAAAACCAACAAGGTCCTGGAGGCTGAGCTTCATAGGAAAGAAAGCCAACTGTTGTTATGACCCAATCACAACAGACATAATCCTCACCCTATAGAGTTTACCCTTGTAGCTGGCAAGATGGCCTGATAGGTAACAGTGCCTGCCACACAAACCTGACAACTTGAGTTCCACACCCAAACCCATAGTGGAAGGAGAGTTTTCTCACTTCCACATACATACCACAGCAGGCATGCATGCACACTCACACATTCCAACAACAACAATAATAAAAATTTTAAATAGAGAATTCCCTGTTGTTCGTCATTGTCTGATCTATACATACTGCAAAGATTGCAAAGCACTGAATACCCAATGCCTGGCACCATTTTCTATGAAACTAAACCACTATTTGAAGCTTTCTGAACTGATAATCTGCGGGTACATGATCCACATACATACATACACATACATACACATTACATACTGACTAAAGCAGCATGCAACGGGCAATAGGCTACAATGAGAGAACACTGACCCGGTGGGGGTTGTCAAGCACCCCAATTCTAGTCCCAGCTATGACATCAGCCAGCTACATAAGCATAGGTTTACCTTCCTAAGTTCAGATTCAACTCTTTAAAGTAAGAGGGAAGAAAGAGGACCTCAGGGGCTGGAGAGATGGCTCAGAGGTTAAGAGCACTGACTGCTCTTCCAGAGGTCCTGAGTTCAATTCCCAGCAACCACATGGTGGCTCACAGCCATCTGTAATGAGATCTGGTGCCCTCTTCTGGCAGGCAGGCAGACATGGAAGGAATGTTGTATATATTATAAATAAATAAATAAATCTTTAAAAAGAAAGAAAGGGAGGGAGGGAGGGAGGGAGGGAGGGAGGGAGGGGACCTCAACGAAAGCTAGCCTGACCGTCCTTCCTCTCAGTTTGATTATTCTATTATTTTATGACTCACGTCAGTCTCATGCATCACCATGTTTGACAGACACAAAAGGAGCTTTCTCTGTATTTTTATAGGAAGAGTCTCAAACAGCCTCAAAGTCAGGTTGTTTATAGTATTCTGTTTTTACTTTGCTCCTAATAGCTCCGTAAAATTTTTTTTGCTAGAAGATGCTCTTAGCAATGCCACTTTCCAAACAACCCTCCACCCTCCAAAAAAGTTACTGCTCCCAAAGGAGTCCAAAGTACTTACGAGGCCTGCGTGGCTGCTTGGCCTGAGGAGGCTTGTTATCTTTGCCTGTGGATGACCGTTTCCTTCCCTGCTTTTCATTCAAATCGAAGAAGAATTGACAGGCAGATTCTTCCTGGAAAAGCCAATGGGGAAAAGCATGCTATTCAGCTGGCCTTTACACAGTAACAGACCACCAAACAATAAGGAATTTTTCTTCCACTCACACGTTTCCTCTCAGCCCTGCCCTGCCTACTCTGGGGAAGAGAAGTATCTTTCCAATTCTGATGCCTCGACTCCCAGTCCTGTATCCCAGCATCCTTACCCAACCACCAGCACATTTACGTCCTCTGCAATGCAAGGCATAGAGCAATTCTTCCCCAAATCAGAGCAGTATGAACCCATTGCATTTTCCCCTCTCTCCCAATAATGACACGGAGTTCTAAAATTTCAGACATGAAACAAGTCCGATCCAACTTCAATGAAAGAGACGAGAAGGTCAAAGACCCCATTAGGAGGCAGAAAGTGGTTTTGAGTGGACAGAGAAGTCCAAGAAAGCAGACTGTGCATCCTAACATGAAAACCTGATTGTCCTTGCTTTAGTGGGGGAAAAGCTAATTTCTAAAGTTCTGCTACTGAGAAAGTTCTTTAAAGTTCTCTACTAGAAAATCATTATAGAAATCATAATCTCTGCTACCAATGGACCTTTGCCTGGAAAACTGAGAATAATCAACTAAAGACAAGGAAAAACAATATGAATCAACTTAGGCAAAGGCTCAACACTGAACTGCTAACCTCAAAATACAATTTAAAAATTGAGCTTAATTACAATCTATTAGGATTTTCTAAATATTATCATGATTTGCCAAGAGGAAAATCATTGTAAGTCTAAGACTGAACTTGTTTGGTACATGAAACTGTGGTCAGGAAAGGCACACTTGAGGACAATCTGGCCCCGAATCCCAGCCCACAAAAAGAATTCACCTGAGGGGCAGGAATTTGCTTTCCTCCAGCTGCTTCCTTTCCAGACTCTCGGTAAGGATTCTCTGTGACGTCTGGAGGCTGCTTCACCAGTTCTGTTACAGCCATTAGCTTCATCGGAACAATACTGAATGCATAAAGATACTCCAGGGAAGAAAAAGAACATAAAGTTAGGGAAAATACTGTTTGTCTCACTATAATCAACCCAGCTTATGACGACAATTTCACAGAACACCTCCGACATGAATAAAATCATAATCCTGTTTGTGGCTCTGAGAATACACAGAACTGTAGCAAATGCCATCCCGGTGGCCTCTGCCATGACTAATGAGGGCTCACGCAGTAATGAGCAACAAATCAAAGCTCCAGCCTTAAAGAGACTAGGTCCTTCACTAAGGGGAACAATGACAACCTCACTACAAGGCTCAGGGGGACTTGTTTTGTAAGCCTTGAAGACAAACTCTGTTCCTGTCACTGCATCTTTTGTTTATGTGGACAACAGAATCATGACACTCCCTTTCCATGTTCTTCATGAGCAACCCAACTGGAGAAGGTAAACCTTCCGTCTCTGACACTACACAATTCACACACATGCAGATACATTTCCTTGGGGACTAGCAGCAAACAAGAGAATAAGTCATATATACTTTATAAATCTTGGGCTAATGGCATAAGATAGAAAACTTTAGGCATGAATATATGCTTTGCCTCAACACAATATGGGAAATAAAACAACACCATAAGGATACCCTACCTTCCATTTAACTGTATTGGGGAAAACCCGGTATTATTCGGAGTATAGAAAAGGGGAAAAGGAAAACATGCACAGCTGGTAAGGATATAGACTGGAACAAAATTTTGAGACCAATAGCGCTTGTCAAGTTAAAACTGTGCACTTTTGACTCTTAAGACATGCACTGCACTGTGCATCTCTGGGCATCTCTGAGACTGAGAGAGCCTGACTCACAGAGCACTGCTCAGCCTGAAAGGTCAGCTTATAACACTAGTCTACACCTGCCAGGAACGGCTGCAAAGCTTAAAACAGGAAGAGTGAACACGAGGCTACTTACCTTTTAAACACTGTTATAACATGCTATGAAGGCTAGAGAGGAAGGTTATTCTGCCTATTTTCTCATTGGACTGCTTTTGATTTTAGCTGTCTCACTCAGCAGTCTAATTTTTAGCATTAGCAAAACATTCCCAGAAAAGCGAAGCATACCACCTACTTTACTGATTTATTTTTTTCCCATCTGCACTATTTTCTAGATTCCAGGTATAACTAATAATTCAAAAACCAAGGAAGGCTTAATACACACACACACACACACACACACACGTTTCATTTTGTTTGCTGATGCTGTTGTTTTGAGACAGGGTCTTACTTTATAACCTCGGCTGGCCTGGAACTCACTATGTAGACCAAGCTGGCCCCACACTCACAGTGATCTGTCCGTCACTGCCTCCCAAGTGCTGGAATTAAAGGTGTACACCACTGTACCAAACTTTAAGAATATTCCTGAGATTTTATTATTTCAGCTCAATGAAGCTGCTAGAAACAAGCAAGCATTTCATCTAAGAGCAAACGCACAAAGCAACAGAGGCAACCACATGGATGTGGATGGAAAGCAACAGTCTCTTAATCTGCCATATCCCAGGGCGCCAGGCCCTTCTCCCAGACCTCCTACAAAGCACTCAAGAAAACCTGCCTTTACAAAGGAGTTGCTGAAGCTGCTGGGAACGCCCAGAAGATCTGAAAGCCAAACTAGAGGAAAAACATTTCCCAAGCAGATGATGAACCATAACCAACAAACACCCAAATCTTTACCTTTTTCTTTTCCAGATTCCCAACATTTGCCAGTGCTATGAAGCGGGTGGCATGCTGTGCACTTTCTTGTAGAACAACATGGTTTCTAAAATGTATATGAAAGATAACAGATCTCAGTCACTCTATTCTATTTTACAAAGCATTAGGTTTCATTATCGCATTTTCATACATGAATCTTTATACTTTGCTTTAATTCATGACCTTCCCCTTACCACCTTCCCTGGTTTTCTTCCTTCCCTCAAGTAGCCCCTCCTTCTTTCATGTCATCCTAAGCAAGACTACAGATAGTAATGAGGGACAGACAAAGGGAGCCCTTGACTGCTGCCGGTGGGAAGGTGAGTGGTGCAGCATGAGGAGGCCTCTCACAGGCCAGGCAGAGCCACCCAATGACCCTGAAGTGCCACTCGGCTTCCATTCACACACCCACATCCGCAGTTCCTGCTACACGCTTCACTTGGGACAGCAGAACTACCTGACTGTGCAACAGAAGAGTGGATTTTAAAAACAGTGCACATACACAACGGGATTTCCAGCCATAACTAAAGACGAAAGCATGACATTTGCAAGGAAATGGACTGAACTAGAAATCATATGTTAAGAGAAACTACTCAGAAAAATAAATACTATACATTTTCTCTAAAACTTATGTTTAAAAGTATGAGTTGGATGGTGGTGGCACACACCTTTAATCCAGGACTCAGGAAGCAGGGACACATGGATCTCTGTGAGTTCAAGGACAGCCTGATCTACATATTAAGTTTTAGGACAGCCAGGGCTACATAGAGAGACCCTGTCTCAAAAATAATACAAAACAAAAACTAATGAACAAAGAAAAAGAAGAAAACAAACCACCAAAACCAACAACAAGAACAGGACCTACGGATTGACAGTGATTACCCAGCACTGTAATGGTAGACCCCAAACTTCTAAGGTCATAGTCTAACCTCTTTTATTTCATTAGGAAACAGAGAGAAAATTAATGACTTATGAGGGTGGTGTCTCATGGGAAATGTCCTCCAGACACTCATGTGTTTTTGAACACTTAGTGGAGCTATTTGGGGAACCTTGGGTGGAGGAGCCTTGTTGGAGGAAGTATGTCCCGAGCTTTGAAGGTTTAGAGCCTTGGCCCACTTCCTGGTCTGTCCTTCTCTGCTTCCTATGTGTAGATTAAATGTGATCAGCCAGCTCCCTGCTCCTGCTGCCTGGTGTATTCCCCTGGAACTATAAGCTGAAATAAACCCTTTCTTACTAAAGTTGCTTTTGGCCATGAGATTTTACCACAACAACAAAAATGAAGCTAATAGTCAATCACTTGCTCTGGTGCCTTAGTACTAGAAGGAACCAAGATATATGGCTAAAAGTGAACAAGATGATAGTTCGTTTGTAGAAAAGACCCCTGAGATGTTACTCACCGGTATGGAAGTCTCTCATAATATGACTTTTCCAAAGCAGCAAAATGATACCTTGGTTTCAAGCTTGCGGCAAGTCTGGAGACCCAAGCTGAGCCACACTTTTTGGTATCTACTCCTCCCTAGTAAATAGGAACCTGATTATCAACACAGACTCAGGAATTATGAACAAATACAAAGAAACAAAAAAGCGTTTTGAAATATCTTTCTAATCCATACACAGACACAAATGTAGACTGCAGGATTTGCAGTGAACTGCATAGCTAAGGGCAATCAAACACATAAAAGTATTGGACTATTACAATTACAGAAGGAGCACAATTGTTGGAAATCAGTGGACACATGGCAAGGCAATCCTCCATGATGACCTCTAAAACACTCACTAAGAGCTCTTTCTGAAGACAGGTCTCTCCCTACAGCCTATAAATTATGTCTCCATAAATATGCTTTTAAGAGTACCTATGTATCTGAGAAAGGCAGGCAGATCTCCGTGAGTCCAAGGCCAGGCTGGTCTACATAGCAGGTTCCAGGACAGCCTGGGATACACAGAGACTGTCTCAGATAAAACAAAATAGAACAAACAGAAGCTTGCAAATAAAGACATTTTGCTATCGTGGACTTGCTCCTAGAACATTCCTAGCTTTTGTCTAATGCTTTCCTTCTGCAAGTTTTTGCTAAAAGGTGGGTGACTGACCTTGAACTTAGCGGTAGCATCACAATGATTAGCTAACTACATCGTTTTCTTTCCCATAAAATCTTATATGGGCCAGACATGGTGACACCTTTAATCCCAGCACTTGAAAGGCAGAGGCAGGTGGATCTCTGTGAGTTTGAGGCCAGCCTGGCTTACACAGTGAGTTCTAGGACAGCAAGAGCTGTTATACAGAGAAACTCTGTCTCAAAAAAACAAACAAAACAAAAACAACAAAAAAATTAATATGGTTATTTATAAACTTTGACCAAAGTTCCCCCCCTGCTGATTTTAGCTCTCCCCCAAAAAAGGGGCTTCCTTTATAGAAGCAGAGTAACCACGGGTCAGCAGAAGGAGATGTTAGGTTCTCTTCCTTTCACCATCCTCCTGGCTGACTTTTATGGTCATGGACACTTAGTGCTAAGTCAGCAAGGACTGGCACACAAGGCCACCCTGGAACATCACTCAGTGACGAATCTACTGGGAGAGCTTATTCTCAAATTCAGTCTTGCCTTTCCCTCCACTGAGGCTCAGCTGAGCTTCTGACCTTACACACCCTTTCCAGGGCCTCTCTTAGACCACGTCTATCTATCATAGCTTACTGGTAGCAGCCCATTTTCAAGACTGTAAATACTTAGGTAGGTTCCAGGGCATCCCATGCTAGTATTGCTACCAGAGATTTCATATTTAGCACCTTGCTCTTCCCATCTGTAGATATTTACATTGCTGACAGAGAGTTACAATGACCCAATTTTACAATATATTTTGATAGCCAAAAACCAATATTTTGGAATGGAAAGGGGTAAGTAAATGCAACTGGAGAGGTGCCAGTAGCTATAAATCTTCCCACTGGGAATTAATAAACTTGCAAAATGCATAAAGAAAAAGGTAAAAGGAGGCTACTTTCAGAAAACACAATTTCAAAAACCATTCACTTGTAATTATGATTCAGAAATCTCATCTGTAAATTATATTTTTATGGGATCAACTTCTGTTTTTGTCAGTAGATGTAGCTTTTAGAATCTTGAAAGTGTTCACAAAACACTTCTAGGAAAAAGTACTATGAGTTAAAATATTCAAAATAAAGAGAAAAACTTTAAAGGTCCAACTTAAACCAGTGTAATTTGCTTTAAAATTTTCAACTGAACAAGCACTACTCACAGAAGAATTCCCAAAGCTCCCCACATACTTGGGCCACGGGGACGTGAGCAAGATATCAACACCCTTAAACTGGGATGCCGAACACAGCATTGTTCTCAAAGAAGACACATCCGTGGGACTAAAACTGTAACTTGGGACTGGCTCATCTAAGGACTCTGTCCCACTGAGATAGGCAATCTGCAGTCCCGAGCTTCCAGTGAAGACACCTTTTCGACCTGGGTCCAAAGGAAAATGAATGAGTTTTAGTCAAAACTGTGAAGGAAATGTGCCACTTACTCTCTCTCCCCATGCTTCCATCTCCCGGCTCTCCTCCCTCTACACACCTGAAGGAGTGTGACTCCTACAGCCCCACCTGGCTCCAAGGGGCCCAGACTGTGTGGTTCTGACAATATTCCTATTCCATTAAGTTTGAGCAGCTCTTAAGTGGTGGCTTCTGGTCACTGACTGAAACTGCCAGTGTCTGCACACTGACCTGTCCTCCAGCACCTACCTGCCCCTGCCCCCCATGACAGCCTCTTAACTGGGCTACTATGATCTCCTTGCTTCCCCTCTCTCTATTTCCTCAACAGCGTGACCCTGTAGGCAGCTTTATTTTTTATCTTTATAGTACCAACTCCCCAAATTTGATACCAATGGATGTTGGAGAGAAAGAACTATCAAATTATACACAGCTGCAGTGTTTCGGGCTATCACAGGCCCACCAACAAGATCACTGTTGAAAGACGTGGCTCAGTGGAATTCGCCTAATAAAATGGTTGGCAAATACAACAGTGTTCTTTATACAAACCAGAAAAACACACTGATGGTACCAGTCAGCCCTGCATCCATATCGCTAACAAATAGGTTTCACAATGTCTGCTTCACAGCAGCTAAAAACCACTATGCAGAGGACTGGAGAGGGCTCGGCCACGAAGAGTACTTGCTGCTCTTTCAGAGCATGTGGGTGTGGTTCCTAACACCCACATGATAGTACAAGAGTCTCTAATTCTAGTTCCAGATCTCCAAGAGCACCAGGCACACACACAGTACACACATACACATATATTATATAGGCAATACACCCATACACAGAAAATAATAATTAATTCTTATTTTTTTGAGGTGGCTCAAGGAAAGATGTTCTGCAAGTCTAAAAGCGTGAGTCCAATCTTTAGAAGGCACATAAAGGTGAGAGAAGAGAAGCAACTCCAAAGGTGTCCTCTGATTACACTTGCATTAGGCAAATGTATGTACACACACATAACTAATAATGATGAAAAATTTAAAATCAATAAGCATGGGGACTATAGCAACAATTCAGAGGCAGAGCACACACTTAGCAAATGTATGAGACCTGGGTTTAATCTCCAGTAATGCAAAAAAATAATATAATAAACTTTAAACCATATAAGAAAAAAGTTTCCCTCAACAATCTGACTAAAGGATTTCATGTGACTGGAGAAAGCTGAAATTGCTCCCGTGAGGGCCACACTTGATGCAGGCCTGAAGGCGATGACAAACTATGGCAGGCTGAAGCGGGGCACGTCTAGCAAAGGAAATACAGGAGCTAGAGATACAAGACCAAAAGAAATGTGAAGGATGCGCTTAGAAAGCAGTAACATGAATGATCTAGGACACAGTAAACTAACAGCAGAAGGTGGAGAGAGAACAATAGCAAAACTTGACAGTTGCTTTTATCCTGACACTGAAGAAATGCAGGGGGCTATGAACAGCTTTAACTTAGAATTAGAGAGGCCCTGAACTAGGAAAAGAGACAAAAGGAATGAAAAAGCCCAAGGAGGATCACTAAAAATTTAAGTAGCCAAAGCCTTAGACTAAAGTCTAGAGTAAAGCTAGTTTGCTAAATCAGCAAGCAAGGTATATGTGCAGCAGCAAGTCCTGAAGGAAAGACGGGATGTGTGCCCCAAGTTCTCCACACAGTGAGCAAGGCACTGACCACTCAGTTGGTGGAGGAAGCGTGCACAGTGCTACAAGAACACAAGATTAGGGGAATAGCAAACTGAGGAGGAAGAAATATCACTGTCCAAAGGGATACAGATGCAGACTTAGAGGGAAAACCTTCCCCAGAGGGAAAAACAAAACCAACGCCTAACTTTGTCAAGCAGTAATGGCAGAAGGATCCAGTCAAAACTTCTCCTGAGAGACTAATCCCTGGAAATATTTTACTAAATTCATTACCAACAACAAATATTAACTCACCCAGGTAAGTGATATTTTCAGCTAATTCACACCCATCAGCATCCTGGAAATACTGTACTGTCTCCTGGTTGTTGGCACCAAGCACATATGTCTGAATAGGAGCTAAGAGGGAAACAGACATGGCACCATATGGTTACTGGATCTGCTCTGACGTTCCAGAAATGTTTCCTCATTAGTAAAACAGTCACAACGAGAGTAAAGAGTTCCTTCCACAGCCATCCACATGCTCACCACTGAGGATTCCTAATCTAACCCTGGTGGCTTGACTACTTACTAAATTATATCACTAGGCTGATGAATTACCATCTTTAAGTACACAGTCAATGTACTTTTAATAAAATTTTATAATTTTATAAAATTTAATAATATTTTAATAAAAGCACTTGACAGGGCTGGAGAGATGGTTCAACAGTTAAGAATACTATTTGCTCTTACAAAGGACACGGGTTCAATTCCCAGCACCGATATGGTAGCTTACAACTGTCTATAACTCTGGTTCCAGACGATTTGGCACCCTCCCACAGATATACATGCAGACAAAACATCAATGTACATAAAAATAAATAAATCTTTTTTTTTTAAGTGAGCTAAGAAATTGGCTCTCTGGATATAAAGAAAAAATATTTTTTTTAAAAAGCACTTCATGAAAAAGCTCGAAAACAATGAAAGGGCATGCCAGTTCCACTTTTCAATTCTTGACGATCTAAGTGAGTATTCTTTTGATAGAATGAACCTGAACAAAATTCAAATTGTGGGGGGAAAATGGATTACACATATGCATCCTCTTCTGCTCAATGCAGAGTTCAAGAAAGACATACTACTCTTCGTTATTTTTGCTTTGTTTAAACAGTCTAGACATGCAGGCCAAACTGGTCTGTCCCGGATTTATGATACTTCTACCTTAGCCTTTCAAGTGTTAGCACCATGAGCATGCGCCACCAGGGGCAAGAGAGAAACTATCTGAAAGCAGCTATGCTCGGCAATGCGTGAGAGAAATCTTCAGCAACTAATATGTGAAAAGCAACCCAACAACTACAGCCCCTGACATTTGGTTAGAAATCACACATTAAAGAAAAATAATTTCTGTACCTTTCTTGTTGCCAGTCTTATAATCCTCCCACTCAGCATCTTGGGTAGAGCCAAAGAAATTTCCTACACACAACAGCAGCTAAAATGAGTTTTTTAAAGATATATGAGATTAAAACAATAAATTAAACAGCACATTATTCACTGTGATAATCAGTTAACTACTCTACTTAGTAGTCTCAAACCAAGTATTTATTCTTCGATTTGTAGAATTTGAAAACATCTTTAAGAACAGTTAACTGATAAACCTATGAATTATCAAACTATGATGCACTGACAATCAAATCTAAGTTGGGGGCTGGGGGAGAGAGTGGGGAATATGAACTTTGAGAAGGCAGAACTAAAGTGCTTTCCAAAGATTCCCAGCGCCTCTCTATCCTCCTTCCCTGGAACACACAGTGGTACTGAAACAGACATTTAAAGAATCCCTCTGTGAAATATGAAACTTAAATATTAGACTTCAGAAACGAGGAGCTTAAGAACACCACATTTGCCTCCCACTGTTTTTACTAACCTTTAACGTAATGAACAAATTCTCCCCACGCCCACAATACTCTTCTGTAGTCTAAGGACTCAAAATCTACTTGGCAACCATACACAACATTCATTCCCAGTTCTTTCTCTTGTGAAGCATTTGCACATCTGTTACCTGATTTAATCCATAGCACACACTCATGAAGTAGATCTGTGCTTACCAAACCCATGTGTCAGAACCGCCTGGTTCTGTTCAATTTGTTTGCTTGTTTTGGTTTGGCTTTTGGTACAGTAAGATAGTAACAAGACTGAAATTCAATCAGTGTAAAAAAGTGGACAATAAATAGTTCTTCTTTTCCCATCAGTCCGTTAGTCCACGGTTACTAAGTTCATATTATAAATAAATAAATAAATTCAACCTAACAACAAAAGGGAGAGTCAACAATGAAATTAACAAAGGATCCCCCACCTTGATGTCTGACTAGAGTAGTAAAGTACCAGTAAGAATGGTCAACTTACGTCAAAATTCCCACTTTTCTTCTGAATTGTTCGAACTCTATTGAATAAAACATCAAACTTTCCTTCAACATCTCCACAAGCCAAACTGCAAACGAGAGATAAACATTATAGCAATTCAGGAACCACAAGGACCTGCTAGGCTTGGCACACATGTACTTGTCTTCTGGAACAGAGACGTGGCACAGTCTCGGCAGGTGTCTTCTACTGTTGGCGCATTGCAGCTCTTACTAGCCACCAGGTGGGTCTTCCTGGAGATCTCACCAACACCTCAACTCACCATAGCTAAAATTTACCTCTTCCTTCTTCAAGACTGAGCCAGCTCCTTCTCATTCCCAAGACCTGTGGGTAGGTTTATCACCAACAAGTCCCTTATTTAATCTGAATCCAAGCAAGTCTTTTCTCCAAACACTTTTCCTAAGCATTCTATTCTTACTTCCACCACTGTGCCCACTACACAGCTCTGCTCATCGTTCAGGGAACACAAACTGAACAACTACACTATGCAAAGTTCAATGACACACTAGAATTACAGCAGGAGGAAGGCTCCTGTAGTCTAAGAGAGTTTAGATAAGGAAGCTCCCATCATAATTGTGTATGAAAGAAGCAATGACAGGAGGTAGCCTAGTGCTAGGGAGCTGGAAGAGGAAAGGACAAGAGCGGAGGAGGATGAGGTGGACTACCCCAAGCTGTCAAGTGACTTGTCCTGAGTTCTGACTTACATAGTTTTTGTTTGTTGTTTGTTTTTATGTTGGGAGAGGTATTATATTGGGAAAGGCATACGTGTGCCACAGCACTCATGTGAAAGTCAGAGGAGAACCAGAGAGTTAGTTCTCTCCTCCCACCATGTGTGTCATCAGGGAATGCACTCCGGGCATCGGGCTTGGCAGGAAGTGCTCTACCCACTGAGCCATCTTACCAGCCCTTATTTTCTTAATGTCTTTTGATTCAAAATACTACAGTTTCTATTGTTTTTCAGTATATCTCCCTGGTGTTTATTGTTCCTACCAATGAACACTTTCAAGCAACTTAGTGATATGATTGTACATGCTTCATCAATACTTTTAACAACAGTGAATGATGGTCTAGAGGAACAGTTAGCTACAACCCAAGTGTAGACAAGAAAAATGGCTGATGAACACAGGAAGGGAAAATCAGATGAGAAACTTAAGAGTCTGAACACAAACTAAGGAAAGAAGTAGGAAGGAAAACGAAGGGGAAGTAGGAACGGAAGGAAACAAGGCTAAGCAACCGAGTTTTGATGTGGCAGAAGCAGAATCCAATAGCCTGGTTAACTGGTTCGGGATCCAAGGCAGATGCTACAGACCCTCCAGTACCTTCGCTCATTCTACATACCGCCATTGGCTTAACACTCCTTCCTCAGGTCTTACAAGGTACCCATTCATTTTCTCATGCCACATACAGCCATTGGTTTAATGCTCCTTCCTCATATCTTATAAGGTACCCATTTCTTGTAGCAAGTTTTCCTCAGGTCCTAGCCTGTCTTTCCAATGCTTTCTTTTAGTTTTCCCAACTGAACTCTCTCCAAACTGCCAACAGATCACTCTCTTCTCTGCTATTCTCTAAGAAAGTTCTCTGTCCTAACAGCCCCTCTGCACTCATCCTCAAAGCCTTTCCCATTCACCAAGGCCGAGTAAATCTCTGGAGCTTTCCTGGTGAGCTGACATGGGCACTCTTTCTCAAAATCTCAAAATGTGCCATTTCAGAACAAACTCTGCCATAATGATTAAGCAATCTGATTTATTCTCTAAGCACCTCTAGAAATCTTTTCAAGCCCCACTGACTAACAATTCCTGAGAGGCACATTCAATATTCATTATCTGGTGTGAGTCCTTTTACAGTGTTTTCTGATCCCAATGATTTAAGATGGAAATCTGCGATCTTACAGTGAGAGTTCCACACAACCAAAACACCACCAAGCCCTACTGACTGCACCTGTACAATAAACCATCAATTCCTAAACTTTCCCTCTGCCATCATTCTAACTAATCCTAGCTTCCTCTACTTTGGCTCTGATTGGTTTCCCACCTTTCAAGCAGAATCACTTTCCACAACGAAAATTGGATCACGCTAAGGAGCTTTTAAACATTTCGGTGACTTCTCTGGGATAACGACAATATTTACCAGAGTTAAATCTTCACGTTCTCAGGAAAGCCTTAATTCCCTCCATTATGTCAAGTATCATCATATATCCTCCAGAACCGTCAACTTTTTCCTACATTTTCCGCATTTGTTGACACCTGTTCAGCTATCAAGGCAGAAACTCATTCGTGCAACGCTTGGCACCATGCATGACACACTACCGCTACTCAGTCATCTTTCTGAATAAAGTCTTGTCTTCGCTAACCGACCACGCCACAACAGTACGCCGGGACAGGGGCAACGACTATCCTGTCTGTCAATACCCATCAGTGCACCCGATGTCTCCAAGTATTTATTTGGCTAATCAATAAATGGCACGAGGGGAGAAATGGAAGGGAGATGATTCGTGGCAGGCAGGGTAGGCCTAAAGACAGGAAGTCTGGCTCCGCAAGTTTTTATCTCTCCCGGAGAGACTCAGAAGACACTAGGGTGGAAAAACGACAGAAGGAGAGCAGGAAGCCTCCACTCCGGCTCCCAGCAGCCAAGCGACCTCCCCTCCGTCTTCCCTTCCCAGTGTAGGGAAGGAACCCCCCCCCCCCCCCTTCTACGACCGCCTCTCTCGCCTTTTCCTTTCCCCGCTAGGTTCCTGAGTCTTCCGATGCAAGGTAACTCACAGACGCAGGGGCTGCTGAGCCATCGGTGATTACAGCCTGTACTGAGACAGCCACCCAAAGCTGGAAACACAAACACGCGCTCAAGGTTAGAACGCAAGAGCGCGGAAATATGGCGTCACGCAGATCAGCCAATGAGAAACCACCAATCTACAGTGAGGGCAGAGGGACAAATCTCTACGCGGTTTTTGCTTTAAAAGGAAAACTATAGAGACAGTGAAAGGGTTGGACAAACGAAAAACAAATTGTTTTGTTTGTTTGTTTTAGAAACATTTGGAAATTAGTGAACTAGTAGTCTCTCTCTCTCTCTCTCTCTCTCTCTCTCTCTCTCTCTCTGGTTCTGGGATCTAAACACTAGATCTCATGAAAGAGCAAGCACTCTTAACAGCAGAGACATTTCTCCAACCCTAAGTAGATTTGTTTTGTTTTGTCGTTATTATTTTAGTGTGTGTGTGTGTGTGTGTGTGTGTGTGTGTTTGTTTGCATAGGTGGGCACACGTTTGTGTGCATACAGGTGCCTGTGGAGGCCAGAGGCCAAGTCAAGAGTCTTCCTCCTTTCCTCCCACCTCTTATTTTGCCCAAAGGATCCCTAACTCTGTTTTCTGAACCATGGGCCCTCGAGCTTGCCCAAACTTACATGGGCACTAGGGATCCAAATTCTAGTCGGTATGTTTACTGTGATAAAGGTGACCTAGACGTCGCCGAAGCCCCCTTTTTTAACACAATAGAATAACAATCATCACCTCAATTCAATGTGTCAGCTTTGCCAAAGTTGCTGTCTTACTCACTTCTCTCCATGTAACCATGCAGTTTCACTGTCACTGAGTTTTTAAAAAGTGAAGTGCAGACCTGAGTGTGCACCTCAGAAATAAAATATCCTCCCTTAAGTGACCTTAATATTAGCACACTAATGAAGATGAAAGTTAATTCAGCAACAAGACCTAGCAAACATGGATATTTAGGGGTTCTCCACAATTACTTTCATAGATGGGGGTCTATTTTCATTTGGGAATTAAGCAATTCCTTAACATTTTCATTTGATCCTATTTGCTTTCTTTTTTCAGTACATTGATTTTTCTGAAGATCCAGACCAATTAGTGTTATGCCCAAATCCGTGGGGTCCCCACAAAAGCCAACAAAGGAGACCGAGTTCCATATGTAAAAGCAAAGAGCCTTTATTATAATCAAGTTTGCAAACTCGGTCTCTCTACAAATCCAATGTATTGGAATAACCAGAGAGCCCCGAGCTCAATTAGAACTGGGTTTACACAGTAGTAAAGGTGGGTGTGAGGGGTCTCTGAGGTTCAGGACCCCTGATTGGCTGACATTTGTCTACAGGTGTCCCGGTGTTGGGTAACCTCAGTTTGTGGTGTTTTCCTGCTACCAGGTATTGCTTCAGGGTAAACTACTGAGACTCAGGACTCTTGTTTAAATTTATCAATGGTTGAGTCTCAGGTGATAATGGTTGGGTGACCTGCCCAGACTTAGATTATCATGGCTGGCCCCCACAAGTAGCAACAGGGTAATAAGGGTATGGAAGCAACCGTCCTGACAAGTGAGAGACACCCAAGTAACTAGAAATTAAATAGATTAAGAAAGAATATCAAATCTCTGCTTTTCTCACAATACCTGCAATGCTTTTGGTGCATGGGTGGGGGGAGGTAAGAGGCTAAAGGAGTTCCCACAGCACGTAGTAAAGTATAAAAACTTACCTATGAAACTATGTATTATTGTTGCAATTGCTGTTCCTGTAGGTTCAAATCTATTCTGAAAGTGAAAATTATCCATAGGAATGAAAGGTAGCCGAAGACAGATTAACAGATTCTCAGTGTAGGTAGGAATAACAAACAGATTTGTTTTTGAAGCAGGGCCTTTTTATATATAAAAATTCTAGTGGATGGTGGTGGTGCACACCATTAATCCAGCACTTGAGAAGCAGAGGCAGACAGATCTCTGTGAATTCGAGGCCAGCCTGGTCTACAACTGCTACTTCCAAGTTCCAGGACAGCTAAGAATGTTACACAGAGAAACCCTGTCTCCGAAAAAAAAGAAAGAAAGAAAGAAAGAAAGAAAAGAAAAGAAAAATTTTAGTTTTTTAGTTTTGGGGGCTGGAGAGATGGCTCCATGGTTAAGAGCACTTTTGCTTTTGCAGAGGATCTGGGTTCCATTCCCAGCACTCACATGTTGGTTCATTGCCATTGATAACTCCACTTCCAGGGGATTCAGCACGCTCCTCTAATCTCCAAAGGCACCAGACATACATGTGATGCACATACATACATGCAGACAAAACATACATCCACATCCATCTTTTCTTAAATAAAAGGGCCCATTATAGATCAGAGAAGGAAGGATAGGACAGCAGTGATGCACACTTTTAATCCCAGAATTCGGGAGGCAGAGGCAGGGAGATCTCTGTGAGTTTGAGGCCAACCTGGTCTGCAAGAGCTAGCTCCGGGACAGCTAAGACTGTTATACAGAGAAACCGTGTCTCAGAAAAAAAAGGCATAGTTTATCATATGTACTCATAAGTGGCTTTTAGACATAAAGCAAAGGTAAACCAGCCTACAATTCATAATCCCAGAGAACCTAGACAACAATGAGGACCCTACTAGAGACAGACATGGATCTAATCTACATGGGAAGTAGAAAAAGACAAGATCTCCTGAGTAAATTGGGAGCATGGGGACCATGAGAGATAGTAGAAGGGGAGGGGAGAAAATGGGAGGGGAGCGGAGAAAAATACATAGCTTAATAAAAACAATTTTTAAAAAGAAGTAAGGATAAATGATGATGGTCTAGAGCAGTCAGGAGAGGTGTAAAGAGAAATAATCTCTCTTAGGGTCTTAGTCACTGTTCTGTTGCTGCTGTGAAGAGACACCATGGCAAGGACAACTATAAAAGAAAGCATTTAGTTGGGGTTGGCTTACGGTTTTAGAGGTTTAGTCCGTTATCATCATGGCGGGAAGCATGGCAGCAGGCGTGGCAGACATGTGCTGAAGAAGTAGTTGAGAACTAGATATTGATCCGCAGGCAGAGAAAGACACTGGGCTTGCCCTGGGATTTTGAAACCTCAAGCCTACCTCTAGTGACACACTTCCTCCAAGGCCATACCCCATAGCCCTTCTAATCCTTTCAAACAGACCACTCCCTAATAACTAAACATTCAAATATATGAGCCTTTGGGGGCCATTCTTATTCAAACTACCACACTTGGGAATGACACTGAGAACATCAGGAACCTTGCTAGCTAATAGCATGCTACTATAGATAAGTTTACATTTCTTCTCTATCGAACTGTTTCTTTATTAACCACTATCATCTGATATCTTTAGGCAATTGAGTCCCCCCAAATTTCCCTCCCACAACAGGCACAAGTAGGAAATATGTCACAAAACACTTTACTATATGAATGTTACTCCCTACCCTCCCCATATAACACATAGACACTGTCTTAGTTAGGGTTCCTATTGCTGTGAAGACACACATGACCACAGCAACTCTTACAAAGGAAAACAATTACCTGGGGCTGGTTTACAGTTTCAGAGGTTGAGTTCATTAATGTCATGGCAGGAAACATGGTGGCACACATGGTGCTTCTCCAGACACGGAGCTGGAGGAGCTGAGAGCTCTACATCTGGATACACAGGCAGCAGATGGAGACTGTGGCCCATACTGAGCATAACTTGAGAATATAAGACCTCAAAGCCCACCCCTACTGTAGTGATATTTCATTTGTATTTTAATTAAAAGTAAAGTTTGCCTAAATATCAGAGAGTAAAACAACCTTACAGACCAGGCAGTGGTGACAAACACCTTTTGTCCCAGTAGCCACACTAGTTTGCTATAGAAACTGTGGTAGTGGTGCATGCACTCCTTTAATCCCAGCCCTAGAGAGGAATATAAGATGGGGGGAGACAGCTCTCAGACACGGTCTCATTTTGAAGATACCTGGAGGCAGGATGGCCATTTCAGACTGAGGTAGAGGTAAGAGCCAGTAGCTGGGCTGCTTTGCTTTTCTGACCTTCAAGTTGAACCCCAATATCTGTCTCTGGGTTTTTATTAATAGTGATATATTCCTATAAAGACATACTTCCTCCAAGGCCATACCTCCTAATAATAGTGCTACTCCTTATGGGCCAAGCATTCAAACACATGAGTCTATGGGGGCCGTTCCTATTCAAACCACCACAGGAACACATACACATCGTGTCTATCACATTTTCCAAGATGGAACAGATGTCAAGAGTGTCATCTTACCCACACATCTGAATCAAATAAAAACTGAGCCTTGTGGTACAGAACAATGAGCTCAGCTTCTGGGGAGACTGAATCAGGAGAGTCAAAAATTTAAAACCTATTGGATACCTCAAAGCAGGGGTTCTTAGCCTTCCTAATGCTGTGACACTTTATTACGATTCCTCATGTGTGGTGACCCCAACCACACAATTATTTCATTGCTACTTCATAACTGTAATTTTGCTACTATTATGAATTGTAATGTAAATATTTGATATGCAGAATATCTGATATGTGACCCCAGAGGGGGCCAGTGACCCACAAGTTGAGACCCACTGCCTTAGAAGAGACCCAGCCTTAAAATAAAAAGTAAAAGGGCTGGGGAAATAGCTCCTGGTTGAGCACTTGAGTGGGCATATTCAAGGTCTAGCTTTGATCCCTAATGGGGGTGGGAGTGGGCTAAGGAAAGCTCTCCTACACTAAGTTGTGAAAACACTCCTCACTCCTTCTGCTCGGTCCTTAAGATGGCCTTGGAATTAGTTTAGGAGTTTCTGTTATTGGCAGTATTATGGAAAAAACAAATTACTGACACACAAAGTGTAATAAATTGCAAAACACACATTTGTTTTGTTTTCCTTTTTAATGTAGAATCTTGTTAATAATACATTAGCATCATCAATAGAAAACAAAACAAAACCCCAGCCATGTAGAAAATCATGTGCTGACCACTACCAGGCAAGTACTCTCACTTGACTGCCAGCAAGCCCGGGTACACCTGGACTCTAGAGTAGGGATGATGAAGCATTCAAGTATAAAGTGAGGAGCAGTTCCCAGGCTGGGTGTGTGAGGTGCCGCCTCGGCA